TTAAGCTAAGATGTGGCATTTTGTGGGCAAGAAGTGCACTGCAGTGAGGCCATTTAGTCTCCTTCGGGGAGAATCTGTCAGGACAGCAGAGGAACCAACCCCAAAACAGAATACAGCTTCACTGACTGGCATGGACAGTGCCGTGCTGGCTTGCACTGATTTTTCTTGACTCCTTCTCTAAGCCACTAGTGATAGGAGTTAACTGGGGATTTGATAGAATGTAAAGCTGCTCTCTTACTTCAACACAGAATATGCATAGCAGGAGCAGTGTCCTTTCTCCAATATTATTATGAAATAAAGAAATTATACCTTGCTCAGAAAATCATGTTAGCTACATGTGAATCTGGTCTCGAATACTTTACTGTTCTTTTTCCTTATGTAATAAATACAAACAATGAAAAGATTTAGCTTGGTAATACAGCCAGGACTCTTCAGACTTATCTGGTGGGCTTTCTGTTTCCAGTGCTGAGCCAATACATTAAAAATAAAAGAAATTCTTGGTCTTGATTCATTGAGAGATGTCAGCTCAGAATACAGATGACTATGACCAGTGCAGTATCTTTAAATATCAGGGAATGTAGTTCTAAAGCCAGTCATCATCTCCAAAAAGATTTGTTTGTTGTTTGAGGTAGTTTCCTGAGGAAAAGTATTATCCAAGTCACCCACACTGATTGCCTTTGAAAATAAGAGTATTAGTAATACTTCCAGTGTTAGGCAGAGGAATTTAGTCAAGTGATAAGCACTGACAGGGGTTACCTAAACTTTGTCTCCCACAGGAGGCATGAGTCATGGTAGAGGGGAACGTGAACAAGAAATTTTTCTAAGACTCTATTTCATCTAATACTTTCACCTTGTGCAATATGTATAAAACATACAAGCTTTGTCTCTTGGCATGTAATATCTGATCATGACCTGCTACTGTTGGTGTACATATGACCCAAAGGTATGAAGCAGCTTCCTCCAAAGAAAACTATTACAGTAGCTTTGCTTTTCCATTGTAAACAGACTTGTATTGCTATTGGGTGTGAAGCTATTAAATGACTGCTGCCATACACCAAAACCCCAAGAAACTAGTGAATTAAGCTGTTCTCTAGTACAGTAAAACACCTCCTACTTTTCACATTACCTCCTCACAATCTCTCACTATGACATGTGCTTTCTATTACACGTAGTAATTATAGTTCAGTACTGCTTCAAAAAAGACTAGTTAAGCACTTGATATTTTCATCATGCTTACACATGCGACTTACCACCACCATACTAGCTTTGCAGACATTACACATCCATAATAGTTCATGAGTTATGGATGTTGAGGTGAAAAGTAATCCAATAAAAGCATATATTGAGAAAGCAGAAAGGGCTAAGAATGAAGTTTCTGCCATACAGTTTTTGGCACGTGGTAGTTGTAGTAACAAGACGAGCCATAATTTATGATGTCTAAATGAAATACTAAAGATGAGTGCAATTTACCATTGCAAGCACTTTCCAGCTAATGAATATAGACTTGTTGCCCGTGTAACTGGTGTTCTTTGGCAAAGTCTATGGCTCATGTATAATTGATCTGTGCAGGAAACAGCCTTGTCAAGGGCAGGTGATGGAGAGTGGTTTGTATGCAGACTGTGAAAGTCTAGCATTCTTTGAAGGGATTGGCTGTCTCTTGTGCATAGCAATAATATGTGGGACCTGAGCGAATTATCTTCTCTAGCCAGTTTTCTTCAGCGAGAGAACTGGTTATTTTCCTCTAGGCTAGACTTAGGGAGCAAAATAAAATGCACTGTAAATCATTGAAGTTCTAGAGCTGTACAGCAAAACTACAGCCAGACCAGTTTAATAGTGCAGGCTATACACTAACTTTCTCCGTGTCTGCAGCTAAACTCAGACACAAGCTGTCTGATATTTAAAATTGAGTGGGAAGAACCCAGACATGAGTACATGTTTTCCAGATAATGTTGAGAAAGCAGTATTAACATACAGTTTTGGTATTGCTTCCCTTCTATTTCAGGTGTGGTAGGATATAGTAATTCTAATTGTTCCCTCAGCAAGTTCTTGTATCTGAATTTTTTACAAGCTGTCATATTTAAGCATATTAATAGCTGCAGATATACCAGATCATGTGGAGACACTGACCAGCTTTGTGTATCAGGATCTGTAAGGCAGTATCCTTGATTTGCTTTAGGATAAGAACTGATGGAAAATCATCATCTGGCAAAATATTTTACTTCTGGCTCTTGAGTTTTACTTCGTACATCTAATCCCTTAATCAGTACCATGTGCAGTTAGCTCTTCCTTTGATTAATCAAATTTTGCACTCTCATCATTCTTGCATTCCCATCACACATCAGCCCATGTACTGAGCTCTCAATGTGAACAGGACTGTGTGTGCCTGGTTTCCACACAAGCAAGGACAGTTACACGGGTCTGTTCTCACCATGCCAGTCTGCACATGCCCTCATTCAGTGAGTGGGTTTTGTGTGGGTAATAGGTGGATTTTAAATACTGAGAGATATCCCCATGTAAAACATATTTTGAATTGAAATAATTACTAAGCTTAGGTTAAACAGGTTGTCACTAAAAATACTGTTCAGCAGTAAAAAATGGACATCACAAGGAAATGCTTCAGCCCAAGGCCAGAGATGCCCTATGGCGTATTTGTTAGGAAACTAAGAAAGATTTACATAAAAATACAGAACACACAAAACTGTCACGTATCCCTTGTAGGTAGTTGTGATATGACCGTGGTATAGGGGTAAGAGATGAGGTACAAGTAATTAGAGCAGTATAGGCCTAACATCTTTTTCATTAAATCCTACTTTTTTCCCCTCTATCTAAAATCAATCATGCATTTGTTTTTCTAACATTACGTTCTTCTTAGTATATTATGTTCCTTTTAAAGTTTATTCTAGAGTACAACCCTAACTGCACCTGTAAAGTAAAAATTTTGTGTATATCATTATGCTGCAACTGTAAAGTATTCTAATGTGTGAAGTTCCTTGCACGTCTGACTTTGCTTTTACTGTAGCATTAAATAAGCATTTTAATTCCTATTTTAGTAGCGTTTGGGAGGTTTGCTGGGTCACTTATGTAACAAAGTACTTTGATCTAATCTCTAGAATAGAGATAAGTCCTTTGTGCCAAGTCGGATTTTCATTGTATAATGTCCCTTGCTGCCAATGAATTATGTTCAGCCTAGACTTCCAGTACATGATAGAGCAGACGTTTGCTTTTATTTGTTATTAGTCTCTTTTGACAATTATTTTAAGGATAGAAGTTCTGTTGATCATAGCAAGGTAGTACATAGTTAAAGATGACAAATAACAAAAAATTAGTTCTACTTACTTTTGGAGTAAACACATTTGTACAGAGAAGTCACTGGCAAAGATGGCTAAGAAAAATAAAGATAAGAGAAAAAAATAGCAGTTGGTTTGGCTTTTTTTCCAGGTTATGCATTCCTCCTGTTCCAAGAAGAGAGTTCTGTTCAGGCCCTGATTGACGCCTGCATTGAAGAAGATGGAAAGCTCTATCTATGTGTTTCCAGTCCTACTATCAAGGACAAGCCAGTAAGTAAACAGTAGATGGCCTGCAGGCTATAGCTGCCATCTGTCCAAAGCTGCATTTAAAATGATGACGAATATAATCAAAAGCAAACTACCGCTGGCAGAGCTCAACATCTGGAACAGTTGGATGATTTTAAAATTGTAGTGTTTTGAATTAATAGGATTAAAACAGAGCACCTAGACATGCTAAGGTAATGGGGTTATGACTGTTTGACAGTTTATACAGGCTGATGAACATACACCCATGATACAGTGAAACTTGAAGTAGCATACCATTTTCTTTCCCAATTTAATAGGTTCAGATCCGGCCCTGGAATCTAAGTGATAGTGACTTTGTGATGGATGGTTCCCAGCCGCTTGATCCTCGAAAAACAATTTTTGTTGGAGGAGTCCCTAGACCATTAAGAGCTGGTGAGTGTAATCTGTGGCTATTTTTGAAAGTAGGAGATTATTGGAAATAATTTGGATCATGCATGCTTTTGTATAGCTAGGTATGGATAGCTATGGATATATTAATGTAAAATAGAAGACTGTCATGATATTTATAATAACCATAGTACAGTATTTGTGTATTAGTACATTCCTCTGGTAATTATTTTCATCTGGCTTTTGCCATAAATCACTGTTCGTCATTAAGATTTACTGGAAACTGTTACATGTCTAAAGCTATAGAAAAGATTTTGATCATACTAGCAAAACTGTAAGGGTAACCTATATCACAAAAGAGTTTTTACAATAGTGCTGTGAAAACCTCTCTGCCATGCTCCATGAGAATGTGGGGCTCTATTTGCACTTGCTTATCAGTATTCATTAGCTACTCTTCTACTACAATCAGGTTGCTAATATGGACAAGGCAAAAAAACCCACCAGGTGATGAAGGAGTAGGATTAGAGGAAAAAAGGAAGAAGTACAGAGAGCTAGCACAGTCTGTATGGCACAACGCTATATGAGATTGCAGAACTCTTTCTCTTTCTATACTCCTGTTGGAGTGCATGAAGATAAAATTAAATGTTTCTATAGCTGAAGAATGTTTGGTCTACAACCTGAACAGTCTTTGTGAGATTGACTGCAGTAGCCTTCTACAGTATTGTATGGTGGTCTTCTAGTGAATAGGTTGAAGTGAATCTTTGAAGTAGAAGCATAACCAACAATGGTTCAAATCCTGTTTCCTGTTAGGATGACTCTGGACTTCATTAGTCTTCCATAGTTTGTAATGAATTTTATTCTTGCAGAAAGATGAGCTTTCAGATGGAAGATGTAGGAGAACCAAGAAGTAATAGTGCAGGTTTGGGGTATAAAGAATCTTAATTTTTTTCTGTCTTGGACCTGCAATGCTCAAGCTTTTCTGTTATTTTACTTCTAAGAGTGTTCTTTTGACTGTTGTACAAATTCCGTAAATGAGCATAAGCACAGTATGCTCAGCTTCCAACTGCAGCTTAATTTTTCTTTAAGTTCAGTCCAAATATTCCAGATTACTGTGCTGAATGTCTGTGATAAATTTAATGGATACATTCCTATGCTTAGCTTTCAAATGCCCTGTGTATGTGAAAACGAAACTTTCATGGCATTGTGAAGTAAGAATCATGATTTCATAAAGGCAGTAAAACTTTAGGAGACTTTTCAAACAACTATTTTACATCAGTGACTGCTGATACCTTTATACCCTAGCACAAAGGATACTAATCCTGGAAAAGTATTTCCACCTAAATGAATTGCAGAACTGAATTCAGTATAAAATACTATAGATTGCTAAAGTACTTGATCTCTAAAATAAGAGGTTTTTGTTTCTATGAACTTCCATACCTACGGTTAAGTGTAGCAGTATAAGCAAGCTCTGTATGGCTGATAAAAAGACACTAACTGCATCTTTAAATTCAAGTAGGACATAGTGCATTAAGACAGCCAGAGAACACGTACCAAGGAATTTATGGTGGGAGGATCTATTTTATACACCTTACATTCCATGCCTGCCCAAAAAGTCTTTTGCTGTAATCCCCTGAAGAAGACTGCCCTGGAATTTCAATTCCAGGTTATCAAGAACTGCAAGGACTTACAATTCCATTGTTCCTTGGATGTATGTATCCACAGTGTGAAAGATCTGTCTGCTGAGTATTTCATAGCTTAATATGGTTTATATTTCTTGTTATTCTTGTTACATCAGCTGGTCCAAAATTAATTATTAAAAGTAACTTTTCTAGTATTTCTAAATACAAGCATTCTACTAAGTTTGTACTGTAAGCACAGTTTAATATTATTTTGTTTCTTAATAGTGGAATTGGCTATGATCATGGACCGTCTCTATGGTGGAGTTTGTTATGCAGGAATTGATACTGACCCTGAGCTGAAATACCCAAAAGGTGCTGGACGTGTTGCTTTTTCCAATCAGCAGAGTTACATTGCTGCCATCAGTGCTCGGTTTGTTCAACTTCAGCATGGCGATATTGATAAACGAGTAAGTTACACAGAAACGTAAATAAGTGTCAGAATGATTATCTATAAAGGAACTTCTTGGTGTAGTAATATTGCATATGATTTGCTGTCATGCCAGCTTCTATGTTTCTTTTAGTATTCCTGTAACTACTAGTTCCAAGAGTTAAGCCATGAATGCCCCCAGACAAACAAATTGCATTCCACAGAGTGTCAGTTTGTTCCTTGGACATATGTTAGACCATATGTTCTTTCAGTTCTGGAGTTCCTTGTTGTGTTGTGTATGGGCAGAGGGCTTGCAAATCTTCCTCTCTCCCTTGTTCTAATGAAACCAAATACTGTGATAATTCCTCTGTCATTCACAGGAAACTCTAGTATTCACTGGTTTCAGATTAGCTTTATATTTGCAGCTGACCTTAATTTCAGCCCTAATTGTCAGTGCTGAGCACTTCAGAAAGTCAGTCGAGTTCAAAACCTAAAGTACAAAATGTCCCATCATTTCTCTTTGAGAGTGTCTTCTTAGTACTTACCAATGCACACTTCTGGCTACTACAGATGCTTATTGCTAGCTAACGCAAAGCTAACTTTTCTTAAAAATCTAGTCAACTTCATTACTCCTAATTAGAAGTATAAGAGTAGGAAAGAGAACTGGAATGTAGATTATGTCAGTTTTAAGTGTCCCTGGTTTTGATGTCAAGAGCTACAGAGATAGACACTGGTATTAATAGATGTTCTTTTTTTAAAAAATTGAAAAAGTGTCTTAGAGGAAGAAGGGTTGAGTAAGTAAAGTAGTTCAAGGTCCAGTCTCCTTTACAGATCAAAGACACAGGAAAAAAAGTAGTACAGTTAACAAAGTCTGCTTGGAGGGAAGTAGCATGTGCTTCTCTCCTTTCAAAAAGACAAAGTAATACAGCTTTACGTCTGTCTCTCAGATACCAGTTGCCTAGTGAGCTGAAATCCTCAAACATGGTCCTTTGCAGAGGATGAGTGAGTCTGAATGTGGGTAGTGAACCAGGCTTCACGTTAAGATGTGACGGCTGCATTTTGTTGTTGGGATTGCTGTCTTTGTGACTTGCAGTTGACTCGTACCGATAGCTCTACCTTTTTGGCTAATTACATAACCAGAAAAATCGCCCTGACACTGAGGCTTTGTGAGGGGAAATAAACTATTAATCATCTTGCATTTGAGTATTTGGACAAAATAGGAGTAAAAACCAGAATCCAGAACTCCCAAAAAGATGCTAAATGGGTATAGCTTAGTGTGTTTTAGGAATCCTCTGTAGTGCATTTGGCTGTGAAGCGACCTATCTTTCAAATTGGAGATGGACAGTTGGGTCCCATCCAAATTAGTTCTCCCTCAAAGGAGATGTGGACTTGAACTCTGTAAACTAAGGGAGAGTTCTGCCTTGGTCTTCCTCTTTGCATAGGAGTGTCCTTTGCAGTAAAGGAGTATATGGTAGATTTGCACTATCAACTCGTAAGAGAAGGAAAGGTGTGAACCTGCCTTTGAAGGCTGCACTTCCAAGTATGTTCCTGTGTTGTTTTGTTGGGTTTTTTATGATAGGTCACAAGAGATTTTAAGGGCTCTTTGGATTCTGAGCAGCCATCTAAAATGACAGTGGTTGCTGTTTGCAGGAAACGGATGTAACTTGTTAATGAGTGATATAACACTGAAGTACTTCAAGGGGAATGGGCAGTAAATCCCCAATATAAAACAGTGGGCATGTGCTGCAGGCCTCTTGGAGCATAGACAGAGAAAAAAAACAACCCACAAAATCTACCTCAGATACTAGATTTCAGAAGCACAATATTTGAGTTACATCCATGACAATTAATTTGTAAAAACAGTAGTCATGATTTCTTCAATCACTATTAAAAAAACCAAAACCAAAAACCAAGATCTAGGCTTTGTCTTTAAACATCTAAATTCTCGGTTTCTTTTTCTGATTGTTATAATTTGTGTTGTTTCTTTAGCATTGCTTTTCTATTACTTGAAAGTGGTTTTTTACCCAAGTTTTCTCTTACATCTGGAATTTTTATTAGAATCATTGAATTTTCTTGTTTTTAAGAGTGTTCTACTCCTGAGGTGTTTCACTTGCAGAATACAGCAGTGCCAAATCTAAGTATTTTAATAAATTTATCATTAAGCCTCTTGATGGGGAGGGTTTATGAACTTCTTTGTTTATTTCAAAGGGGGGTTAATCTTTATTTTTTAAATCATCTTCTCTAATTAAAACGCATGGTCAGTCCTTATTATTTGTATAATTATATAGATGTACTTATGGAACCCAGTTATTTGCATTACTGAGGAGTAATAGAGGACAGTCTTTTTAGGGAACACCTTAACTCTTAGCTGTTTCTGAAAGTATGAAATAGCTATTTTCAGAAACAGTTGTTTCTTCCATGGAGTTCATACCCTAATGCCTTTTCAGGCTCTGAAAATATCCTGCAATCAGTACTACTGCTGACTTACAGATTGGTTACTGCCTTCATCCGAGATGTATCTGTATGCTGGAGAGTAAAGCAATATATTCCGTATTTGAGTGAATCTTGAAGGCAGGCTGTTTCCCTACCCTTTACCTTAGCAGTAGCCTTTCTATAGCAGTTACAACCAGTTTCTGTAGGCCTGCTGGCCTGCTGTCTTGTCACATTCTTTTCATAACCAATTTTCTCTGTGTAAAAGTCTTCATACATTGCTAAATTTTGCAGTTCACCTGTTCATGCCTCTGAACTTCAGTTAAAAGTTTATAGCTTTTTTTTTTTTTTTTTCTGCACATACCTTTATTGGAAATCTTAGTGTCACAGTTGCTTAACAAACATCGGCTGTGATCTTTTCTTCCTTACCTAAATACTCTGCAGCTTCTCTCCAGTTCTTTTGATGTGTAGATATGTTTAGTTTCTCTAACAGATGTTTTTCTTCAGTAAAGTGCTCCTCATCCTGTTTCATCATGTGTGAGTTTTCAGCTCCAAACAATTCCTTAAAATGTTGTTAACTTTCATGTGCCAGTATTCTGCATCCACTTCATGTAATACTTCCATTCCCCAAAGTGCTTCTCTAATACCTTTGAAATCATCTTCAGACCGATCTTGGTGCATTAAAGCACTGAAGCTTGAAATATATGCTGCTTCATGCTTTCAGTAATTCTGAACCGTGAACACAGTCACTGCATAAGGTACCTGTTCGCTGGAAAGTTTGAGAGTAATTTGTGATAAGGCAGGTTGTTGTAGTGAATAAGTAGTGGGGCTTGTACTGAATATAGATTACTGGAAGAAGCATGCTCTGTTTCAAACAAAGGTGCATTTGACATGTAGAGTTTGACCTCTGCTTCTGAAGCTAAGAACAGGAAGACTATTCTGCTGTAAAACTTCTGAGTGGGTAGCCGTAAGTGTAAATTTTTTTCCTCTGGAGACAGAATGGAAAAAACCAGCATTTTAAAGTTCATATTATTTCAAGCATACTCTCTCTGGAGTATCATACATAAAGTCAATGTCTATACGTAGCAATCTTCTCAGGTGATAGTATCTCAGAAAAAAAATCTCTTACACCAGTGAGTTTTAGTATGAACTGGAATAATTCTTTTTACCAACAAAAGGCAGAAAACGCCATCTTTAAAAGTGAGGAAAATGCGGAAGACAACACCACATTCCTTAATGATGGAGTGAATTCATTTTGTGTTTTGTTACGAAGCTGTTCTTCCTGTCTGATCCCAGTCTGTAACAGTTCAGTTTCACAAAGACATAATGCAAATTTACCACTGGACTCCTGCCACATTTCCACTCAGGCAGTCAGATGAGTTTGGGAGAAAGATGCTGTGTAAGACAGGTGTTTCTAGTACTTCTAATTTGCAGAGAGAAATAGTGCACGCAGAGACTTACACTTAATATTTAAAAAAGGGTAATACATAAATGATTACATTCTTGTATGTTCAGGGTTTTTTTGCCAGTATGAAGTTGGATGCCATGCTGGGGTGCATTTGGGAGCTGATGAGATGAATTGGGAGACCTTTTGGCTTGTTTGCTTGTTTTCTACAAATACTTCAATATCCTCATTTGCCAAGAACATCCTTCCAGAATAAGATAAGGAGAGGTTCTCATGTAGCTATTTATTACATATATAATGTGCTTCTGAAGATCTGCCTTGAAGCGTTCTGCTTACTGTATGGATAGATCTGTAGCTGATTAAAAAGTAAAGAGTAGTAACGGGGTAATTAGATAAAAGCACTAATATGTCCAGTTTCAGACTTCTGGTTGGTTGGTTTTTTAACCAGAAAAAACCTGAATGCTCTCGTGTAACTTTTAAGTAGGAATAGCCATTAACTAGAACTGTTTCTGGTTTACTCCAACAGGTGGAGGTAAAGCCATATGTGTTGGATGACCAGATGTGTGACGAATGCCAGGGTGCACGATGCGGTGGGAAGTTTGCTCCTTTCTTTTGTGCCAATGTCACTTGCCTGCAGTATTACTGTGAGTTTTGTTGGGCAAATATCCACTCTCGTGCAGGACGTGAATTCCATAAGCCATTGGTAAAGGAGGGGGCTGACCGCCCGCGTCAGATCCACTTCCGCTGGAATTAAACATGGTGAACCAGCATCTCCGTAAGGAAAGAAGGGTGCATGTGGCTTACTGTGTTTGAAGATACTGACATGCAGAAGAAATAAGTGCATTCTTCTGCTTTTCACCCCAGCTATCAATACATGCATCTTTTATCAGCAGCCAAAACACTACAAGCCTCTTGTTTTTCACCAAAACCCTACATCTCAGGCTTACTAATTTTTGTGATATTTTCATGTTAAAAAAAAAGAAAAAAAAAAGTTTTTTTGTATTTTCTCCAAGTTATTTTTATATGTAAAGTTAAAACTAGATATGAGAATGTTTTTGCGTAGGGGCACACAGTCTGCTGCTATATTTAGTGGGTGAAGCGTGCACTTATTTCTAAACATGGGTTTTTAACTTCAAGATCTGCCCCAGTAATTTACCAAAGGTAGCAAAATAGTGAAGATGGAATATGTCTGCTACAAAAAGCTTATTTTTATTGTTGTTGCTATTTTCAGTGTATACATAAACTAAAAATTAGGGTTGATTTTTTGCTCTCCATTTTGACTTGCAAGAAATAATACCTCAAGATAATCTGATTTATTAGCTATTTTTAAACATTTTTAATCACAAGCTGTATTAGCTTTGCTGCTATATAGGTGTTATGTGTAATGCCACCTATTAATACGGGATTGAAACGTTTAAGACACACTGCATTACAGATTAAATGCAGGCAGCACAATATGGCCTAAACTGCCATAGTTTTAGAATGTGAAAAAGAATTGCATGTTTACTTACCTGTATACACCATATGCATGCACTAGAACTATTAACAAACAAGAGGTTATTGCAAATGTTCAAAAAAGGCTCTCTTGAAACTAGGTAGCATGAGCAAATTTACAGAATTTGTTACAAAAACCAGACTTGCATGCATTATTGTGACTGAAGTAAGAAAAATGTCCTACATGTGTACAATATGCAAATTAGTTTTAGACTAGAAAGTGCAGCCATTTTGTGACCTGGTCAGTAGTGGAATTCAATTTTATGCAGACTGGATGTACTATTGTAATCCCTGTGCAATTTTGTGACGTGTGCTTCTACTTAATGTGGCGTGGTGTAGTATAGATACGAGTTTTGAGTAAAAAGCTAGCATTTAAAAAGTTCTTTTAAGCCCCCTTGATTGTTCATGGTTAAGATTTCCTCTACAAACCAAAGATGGCCAGCACACTGCTAACCAGTCACCAAATGTGAAAAACCCATGACAAATGCATACAAAAATAGACTTATATAAGAACGCATAATGCTTTAAAAATTAAATCTAAGTAAAGTCAAAATGGAGAAGGTGTTAATATACAGACGGCTAGTTGCGTAACGAACTAAATTTTACCTTTAAGACAACAGTGAAATTTGGCTTAAAAAAAGTAATATCTTGCTTACATGTTTGACCTGTGTGCGTTGTGGTCTTCTGTCAAACTGGGGTCACTGTTGCATGAAAAGTAGCTACTTGACAGTCAAGGATAGTGTTTTTGTTTTAATGAAGGAGTTCTACTAATGACACCGCTTGCAGGTTTGAGAAACAAAGGTAGTTAGGACAGAGGCAATATTTAACTGAACACTAAAAGAAAATCAAAGCAGTGTTTTTGTCTATCTCAGAGCATTTTTAATGCAACTAGCCCCTACTTTTTAACGGAACAAACAGTTATTCTGCACTCTAAGCAAGCACTCAACGGTAAATGTTGTAATGCAGAATTAAGAGCCTGATGCTAGAGTTGAAATTACAAGGGTGTTGTTCTTCGCAATCCCTTGGGACAATCCTTCATGTAAGCAAAGTGTTGATCTTACGTTGGTTGTCTACGGTGTGCTTTTTTGTACTGTACAATATGTGGTTCATGTCTAACTCTGCTGTTTTATTGTGGTTGTGGTTCAAGTTTTTAATGTTTAAAGTTGATGCTGTTTTAAGAAGAGCTTTTTACTAATTTATTTGTC